GGACCAGGGAGGATGATTCAACCACTCAACCACTAGATGTCGCTGAAAACAACAAATCCTACACACTGTGACTTTAAAGATCTACTTCATTTGTTACACAAAGGCGCCTCCTGCTGGTTGGGATTTTAAGCTGCAGTTTTAATTCAATCATTTATTAAATGAAAACTGAAAGCTGTGAGTGAAAACCGGGTCCAGTATAGCTTTTTGTTTCAGTGTCTTACCCACCACAGGGTTTCAGTCAGGTTCTGGCTCTGGACCTTTGCGGTCTCATGATCTGGTCCAACTATATGAAGTTTTCTTTGGTGCAAAAATATTTTTTATTAGTAAAACAAAAAAGTTCTACAAATTGCAAATTGTTTTACGAAGCACAAACATGTTTGCACACAAAAAAAACCTTTGATTCTTCTAATCTCCAGTCTGGTTAAAGTCTGGATTAGTTCGTCCCATAGAGACATTTTATTGTCCTTTTTCATTGTGGTCAAGTAAAAAATGAAATATGACATCATTTGAGTCTTTAATGATATAAAATAAAGGCTCAATTTGCTTCAGCACACTGCTCATAAAACACGGTGATGACGGTGTTGAACCTGTCCTTCAGGTACATCTCCAGAGTCTTCAGAGACATCGGTCTCACGTCGTAGCCCCTGAACTGTTTCTTCGCCGTCTGGTCAATCGGCACAATCTCCTCAGTGCTGTTTTGGTCGTTGCGTCCGATGGCGGCAAACGTGGGGAAGGTGTCCTTCAGTTCTTCAGGCAGACTGTGGTTGTATTCTGGGCAGCAGTACGCAGACCACATGTACTCTGGTACCGCCACACGGTTCTTGATCCTTGGATCTTTGCCCCTGTAAGGGATGATGCCGGTCACAATGTAGGCCTCGCCGAGGCAGTAGGTTGATAAGCTCTCATTGACGGTCTGCTCCAGGAATTCCCAGGGTCCGTCGTTGGAGCCCGTTTTCTGAGGGACCACGTTGGTGAGGGTGAAGGTGGCGGAGCGCCTCGCTTTGGTCCGGTGGTGAAGGCTGGGATTCAAATGACCACGAGTAAAGGTGGAGTTAATGTAGTCCAGCTCCACTGCCTGGCTTTCCACCACCTTCAGGTCCATGGGTCCTGGCAGGAAGGGCATCATGTTGCCATCTGCTTCTGGGTACGCCAGCTGGGTACGAGACAGAAGAACTCTGAGGTGAGTCTAATAAAATGATATGGACAGGATTAAAGGTAGATCTAATGTCATTCCGTTTTTAACTCAAAGGTTTTTTGTTTTTGGTACGAAATGACCAGGACCTAGACAAGATTTCAGGTTCAATTTACTGTCATTTTACAAACATTCACACACCAAATTAAATGGTTTTATCTTTGATAACATTTTTTATCTTTAGAAACCAGGTTGTCCAATTAAAAGAGTTAAAATATATAATTAATTTGAAACAGAATACCAGAAGTCCACCTCAACATCTGCTGACATCATGAGGAACATGTTAGAAAGCAGATGTGGAGTGAAGCAGTTCTAGGGGGGTCAGTGTTGTAGTACTCAAGACTGGTCTCAAGACCACTTTTTGATGGGCTCAGTCTCATTTCGGTCTTGGACATTGAGGACTCAGGATTTTATTTCAAGACCACAACTGTGGAAATATCACTAAATTGCCAGAATTTTATCCATTTTATTTGTTAACGTCTTTGCTTTAATTGGATGTAAAACATTCTGATTCAAATCCAAGCATGGCTCGATAATTATTAATTTTTGTTACCGCTGTCATCACCCTCTTTCATTGCAGTCCAATAAAGTGAGCAGTTTGGCTATATCAATCATAAAGAATGTGTTTGTAAAACATCCAGGAGAAAGCAGAAAGTGATTTGTAAATCCTGCAGAGCTTCACTTTCAGAGACGACAAACTTTTATCATCACTTAGAAAGAAAGCACAAAGAAAGCTGTGATGTTAGCAAAGCTAGCTAGCTAAGGTTAGCAAACTGCCTCTGAATCAAAAATCTTCATATTCACAAAAAGAGATTTAGTCAATGTTACTTATTAGCTACATGTGTACTGTATGTTTTAGGGCACTAGTTATCATTTATTTATTTTTTCTTGACTCAGTCTCACCGTCTCTCAGTCTTGGTCTTGGGTTAGGTGGTCTTGACTACAACACTGGGATCCAGGAGTATTTACACCTCTGGAAAAGTTGATCAACTCAAAACTCTGCATTTTTCAACTATTTGAAGAGCATTTTACTAAATTCTTGCGATTATTAAAACAAGGTAAAATCAGTATTTTATGAAAGTAGTACACTGAAAACCAGACTTGGACATTTAAATGTTTTTTATTTACACACTGAGCACCAAGAGTTAGTTTTGACTGCATCATGATACTTTTTTATACCATCAGTTTGTGGCGTCCCCCAGATGGACGGCGCCCTTAGAGGTTGCCTACACTGCCTACGCCACGGGCCGGCCATGGAAACAACCTGAAGCTGTTTTGGTCAGAAGGTCCAAACGTTCCTCAGGTTCTGGTTGCTTCCCAGTAAAACTCAGTTTACACCTCGTCACACAGCGTTTGATTAAAAAGGCAACTGAAAGGTGCAGACTGGGAAGAACGAATTAGGATCGTTTCTCCTTTTTACAGACTTGTTTCCTGTTTTTGCTTGATTTAACTAAAAACCATTGCACGAAAAGAGCTGAAAAAAAAAAACAGACGTTGGGATTATTAGAGGTGTTACAGATGTGAGGTGTTACCTGGGGCTCATACTTCCAGTTGGCTTTGGGTCTTTTTCCTGTGGGTGCTGTGTACAGATAACCCGAGAGCCACGGCGAGCGGCGAGGTCGACTGTACAACGAGGCAAAGCAGTACGAGTTGTTGTAGCGCTGGCAGATCGGGGTCCCATCCAGACCTTTAGGGGGCCAGGATTTGTAGAAGAAGTGCAGACACGGGGTGAAATCTCCAACATCAGCCGCACACAGAGACCAGGCAGCGGAGGAGACCAGGACCAGCAGAGACGCCTGTGAACAGGACATTTTAACCCGTCCTCGCACACAAGAGGAGTCAACTGAGGGCTGTTTCCTTTATTTATTTATTTTTACCAACCTGGCAGTAAAAGCAGAAGCGGTTCAGTAGGTTTGTTTTTTTCCAGGAAGCAGTTCTGCTGCGGCAGCTGGACAGAACCAGAGCTCGTGACAGAGAAAGGAAACAAGACATGAAGGAGAGGTTTGTGCTCACATGGTTTATTTATAAATGAACTTTGAGCACAGCTGTGGGTTCAGAGAAAAACAGATCCCAGACCATCACACCACCGTCGCCGTGTTTAACTCTGGGTGTGACGTTTTAGATGCACAATGTTTAAAAAGTTTCACATTTTCCTCATGAGTCCAGAAATCATTTTATTTTATTTCTTCTTCTCCTGTTTGCTCCGCTGTGATATTTGCCTTGGAACTCTCCCACAGAGGATATTTATTTCCTCTTTCTTGTTTCTGAATCACGACCTTTGACCTTCAGTGAAGCAAGTGAGACCTGTTGACCTTTACGTGTCGTCTGAGTTTAATGGCTCTGATTGATTTCTTGACTCTAGAAGTCTGCGAAAAGTTCACCATCTAAAAATAAGTTTAAAAAGTACTGGTTCAGGGATGGGCAACTGGTGGTATGCGGCCGTTATGTGGCTCGTGGGTGACTTTCGCCCGGTCCGCTTATTGTGTTTTTTTTTTTTTTTACTTAACAAAGGCAGTCTTTTTAAGTAAAAATATATTTTTTAGAGGTAAACTATCTGTTCACAGAATTTCAAGGCAAACCTGTGTGTTTATTCTGAGACGCTGTCTGCCATGAAAGATTTTAATACAAGTCGCCACTTCAACACCACAAAGCTAAACATAAGTTTACTGAAGTCACAAGTACATAAACTACAAAGACTTTTACCAGAACCACACAGGAGTCTGACCTGTTTTTTTATTTTATTTTATTTTTGTTCACACATTTATTTAAGAAGTGTGTAGCTGTTATATATGCATATGTTACTGCATGGCTGTTTGTTTAATAAACATGTAAACACAAACATTTTTAAAATGGCAGTTTTATTAAATTAAGTGTGCAGCGCTGAGGCCCTCTGGTAGTTAAGAAAAAAATGTGGCCCCTTCCATCATTTAAATTGTCCATCCCTAAAGATTAAAGTCTAAATCTGGTCAAATTAGGCAAAATAATCTGCTAGAGGACTGAGACTATTGCACTTGGGAAGACTTGTTGAAATAAGAAGCATTTCCAGGCTAACGAGATTAATAATCGTATAAATAAACATGTTTTGCTCTTGTATCGCAAAACAAGATCAAACCCTAACCTAACAATAAAGGAGGGAATTACTTTTTCCACATGGGACCAAAACAGTCTTAATTAATTAAATCCATATTTAAAAAAAAACATTTTTTTTACTTTTACTCATTATGTATTTGTTGTTAACATTTATTCAACATTCTTGCTTTAAAAACAACAACGAGCTGCTCTGTTGTCAGTAAAACTCAGATCGGTGCTTTTATGTCCTGCAGACAAAGAACTCACACATACTGTAAATGTATTTTATTGTGAAAAGACAAAGTTCACATGGTTAATAATTAAAGAGATGTTTGTAAAGTCGGCAGCTTCTAAAACTCAGATTTACTCTGAACACTTTGATGTTAATACGTCAGAAAGAAAGAAGGCTTTTGTGTTTTCATCATTTTGTTCGATTCAGGCTGAAAGCAGAGAGAGAGAAAGATATTTTTCTTTTCTTGGTTTCATTTTTCACACGAGGATTTGAGGTCTGGTTCTCCTGCAGCCCTCCCACAGTTCATTGTAACAAGTTAATCAGGGTTTAGGTTCTGCAGCGGCTCAGAAACTCAGCTCAGTTTGACCAAAAAGAACATTTTGTCCTCTGTGTTTGGGCTTTAAAGGTAAGTTACAACACGTTTTCTGCAGCAGAGACAGATGCACACACAGCAGTTTGTTTTTAACAGAAAGCAGACAGGAAATATCTGTTTTAACTTTTAAAACAACATAAAACTTTGTTCTGAGTGTCAGCTTTCTGCTGACCGTCGACTCTGGAGACTCTTTTCTGAACTTTGATTTGTTGAGAAACGTCTGCGGTTTCCTATTTTCACTGGAGTTTTATGTCCAAATCTTTACAAACATGAATATAACAGAATATAAATTAATAAAACTCTAAAAACTAAAATGATATGAGAGATTTAAATGTCTGGATTCAGAATTTAATAAACAATGGGCAAATTTAACCACAAACGGGGAAAAAAAGTAAACATTTTCTAACGTTTTCCAGATGTTTTTTGCTCTTTTTCAGCTTCAAGACTGTAATTTTCCTGGAGGTTCATGCAGCCTTGATTTGAACCTTTATGAGCCTTTATGCCATTCTGTTTGGGAAGCAGATGGCAACATGGAGCGTGCTGGATATGTGTTCACATACATGTGGATTTTAGTCTCAAAAAGCTTCTCAGAGCTCCTCTGTGCTTCACACCGGAGCTCACTGGATTCTGTATAAACTGGGGTGCAAATGAACAGCAGCAAACTGCAGCGGTGCAGTTAAGGGTGACATCATGAAGGAACAAAGCAGACTGAGTCTCCTTCATAAACCTGAGGAACCAGTGATTATTATACAGACTAAATCAACTAGACTCTATTAAAAAATGTGTCTAAAAAGTTTTTTGTACCTTATCAGTGTGTGGATGTGTAAACTCATAAAGTTTTTCTTTTTAGTTTCCGCTGTCATTTTTCATGAATGGACACTTCCTTGTATCTGAGGCAGGAAACAGCCTTATATGGTGTTTTTGGGGTGGTAATTATGCTAATCTCCTCTTGCGTGCACGAGCAGCTGGATACGAACAGGTGTAATTTACGCAGCTCATTTACAAACTTTTCCTGAAGATAGAAGAGTTTGTTGAATCTGACGTGACATGTTTCGAACCCTTCATACGAACAAAAGTAAGAGAAATTTAGGATAAGAATACGAACATGTTCTTGCATGAGGCCCATTGATCTCACACAAGAAGTAGTGGTTACTTGAGTTGAACTGTTAAACAGTTTGATAGTTAAAGACAGAATAAGTCTTTAGCAGGTTTAGCTGTTTGAACAAGCTCTTGTGTGTGTGTGTTGGGGGGGGGGGGCAGGTTGTAGCACCTCCTACCGCACAGGAAGATCCAATAGTTCTACCTCCAGGTTCTTTGGCTGGAGGTTTAATGGTAGCTCACCATCGAAGAAAAACCTGGCCTGTTGAAAGAGAGCCAACATTAATACCATTTTCTTAGTATTAGACAATAACAAAATTCCTTTTAATACCATAAATTATTTTTTCAAATAAAACAGGATTATTCTATTAATTAATCACATGTACATGATTCACATAATTGTTTGCCATCGTTTAAATACACAAACAATAATTCACAAATACTCTTATATTCATCCTTATTTTAGGATTAAATGTTAAACATTTCACAGTAATGCATCACATGGAACAATTTTCCGATTAAATAGTGTTGAACCACTTAAATTCAAAGGATACCAAACAACAAACAAACCACAAACACTCACCAGTTCATTTGCTTCCAATTTCTAAACACAAGAAAACCCATTTTCTTGGGGAATAGAAGCATCTAAAAACTGAAAGGCATACCAGTAAGTGTTTAACAGTCAAAAATGGAAAGAAAAATTAACAAATAAATGATTTTAAAATGGTTTAAGGCCCACCTGCAGCAGCTCTGAACTTCTCCTGTCAAATACATGGTTTTCCAAACAAATGCTGGGTGCGGCCCCTTTTTAAAAGCTCTGATCCAACAAAATCTCGCGGGATTTCACACTTAATCTGAGAATGGTGGGCAGGATGAAAACAAAAGGGAGTGAATGGCCTTAAGTATTTTTTAAAAAACTGACTTGGTTACACCAATGTATCACTGGATTTAAAGGGGATATATGCAAAATCCAATTTTTAAGATGTTGAGTTGACCTGAGACACACCCCAGAAAAGGGGCGGGGCTTGTGGAGCATTGCAGTTTCACTTTATAATAGGGGTGTCAAACTCCTGTCCTCGAGGGCCGCTATCCTGCATGTTTTAGAGGTTTTCTTGCTCCAACACACCTGATTTTGATCGCTGGGTAATTAACAGGCTTCTGCCCAATTTGAAGAGTTAATTCAATCACTGAATCAGGTGTGTTGGAGCTGGAAAACCTCTAAAACATGCAGGATAGCGGCCCTCGAGGACTGGAGTTTGACACCCCTGCTTTATAAAGACCCCAACTAAAGGATTTAAATGTGAAAACGAAAAGCATCAGATGTCTATTTTAACACAATTTTCTGTTTTCTTCAGCGATGGGGAGACTTCCAGGAGCTTTTCTCGTCCTCCTGGTGACGATTTTGTCCTCTCTGACGGGTCACAGCGTCCACGCTGGGAAGATTTTGGTGTTCCCAGTTGACGGCAGCCACTGGGTCAACATGAACCTGATGATCCAGAGCCTCCAGTCCAGAGGTCACGAGGTCACAGTGGTCCGCACGTCCACCAGCTGGTACGTCAAAGAGCACTCCCCTCATTACCGCTCCATCACCGTCAGCCTGCCGCGAGCCAACGTCATCGAGGGGGAGGAGTTCTTCCTGAGCTTCCTGGCCAAGATGCTGGAGATCAAGAGGCACGGGGCATCTCCAGTCGCGTTCCTGAAGTTCTACTGGGAGATGCTACCTTCGCTTTCTGACATTCACAAAGACACCTGCCTGTTGGTGGAGGAAATATTTCAGAACAGGACTCTTATGCGGAGCCTTCGGGACGCCCAGTTTGACGTGGTTCTTCTGGATCCGGGCCTGCCGGTTGGAGTTCTGGTGGCTCACGAGCTGAAGCTGCCGACCGTTTATAACGTGAAATGGATCACCAGCGGAGAAGGTCACTTTGTGGCGGCTCCATCTCCGCCCTCGTACGTTCCCACTTCTGGACACGCCGTGACTGACAGGATGACGTTTATTGAAAGAGTTAAAAACACAATTTTTTACTTCTTCAACACCTGGATTGACAAGCTGTTTGTGTGCTCTCACTATGACCGACTCGTGGACAAATACTTTGGTCCAGACGTGAACTTCTACCACCTCCTCCAAGGAGCCGACTTCTGGCTCATGAGGGTAGACTTTGTGCTTGAATTCCCCCGGCCGACCATGCCCAACATCGCCTACATCGGGGGTTTTCAGTGCAAACCTTCTAAAGCTTTACCCATGGAGCTGGAGGAGTTTGTCCAAAGTTCAGGAGAGCACGGCTTCATCTTGATGTCTTTAGGAACGCTGGTCAAAGCTTTACCCTCAGAAATCACGTCAGAAATAGCTGCGGCTTTCGCCCAACTCCCTCAGAAGGTCATATGGAGGCACGCTGGCGAACGCCCCGACAATCTGGGCAACAATACCCTCCTGGTGAAGTGGATCCCGCAGAACGACCTGTTGGGCCACCCAAAGATTAAAGCCTTCGTAGCTCACGGTGGCAACAACGGTATCTACGAGTCCATCTACCACGGGGTCCCCGTCGTCGTCGTGCCCCTCATGTTCGACCAGTTCGAAAACGCCCTGAGGTTGGAGGTTCGGGGAGCTGCGAGGGTGGTGGACGTGGCCGAGCTCACCAGGCAGAACTTCCTGGAAGCGCTGCGAGACGTCCTCCACGACCCGTCCTACGGGAACAACATGAGGCGTCTGTCCGCCCTCCATCGGGACCAGCCGATGCACCCGCTGGACACGGCGGTGTTCTGGACCGAGTTCGTCATGCGGCACAAAGGGGCCGCGCATTTACGCACCGACTCCTACAAGATGCCGTGGTATTCGTATCATTCCGTGGATGTTCTCTGCTTCCTGTTGGCAGCTTTACTAACGCTGAGCGCCGCTGTGGTTGGATCCATGCGGCTCGTCTGCCTTCGACTGTGCAGACGGAGAAAACCGAAGCAGGAATAACTCCTCACAGCAAATTTCTGTTTTTTAAACGAATTATCTTAAAGCAGCAGTTTGTATAATAAAGCTGATGCCTCGTCTGAGTGAGGCCAAAGTGGTTTCCTGTCATTTTAAAACATCTCCTGTCTCAACAATTTCAAAATCAATTTCATTCATCTTTACATGGTCAGCAGTTTTACTTTACTAGGTTACTTATATTAACCCTTAGATGCGTAAGTGGGTCTTTTTTGACCCGGTGAGGTCATTTTTTTACAATATCTTTGTAATGAAAAGTTTTCATCATTTCATATTCCAGGTATCCCTCAACAAACATGTTACTGATATCATGCAATTACTTTTTTTCATTTATCTTTTATACATTTTAAGAAATAGCATTTTTTTTCAGTTACTACCCCATTCTTCTGTAAGTGGGTCAAAAATGACCCGCACTTTTTTCCTAAATGGGAACCTTTGTTTCTTACCAACTGTGACTGTCATAAACTGAGATCAGCTTAGCTGCCGTCTACTGCAGGTAAGAGACTGATTACTGATAGTAACTCCACAAAACACTGATTGGAATTTAAAATAATTTCTTTTTTTCCTCTGTCATTGTGCAAAATGTGTAATAAATAATCTACAATTAAAAAATTATTAATGATCTAAGATTTTTTTTAAACTATGCAAATCACAAAAAGCCCAATTTCTTTATAATATAGTGTTGAGATTTTTTACGTGGCTCCAGCTGATGTAATTAGGTTTAATTTTACTCATATGGGTTCCAATTATGTAATATAATCCTAAAATAAAAATTTTGAAGCATTTTTTAGCAGTAACAAAAAGCTTGATTTTGAGGAAAGATGCCTTAAAAATTTTAATTTTTCCCTTTTTGTTTCTTTCCAGCTGGGAAATCATAATATATAAATACAATTTCAGGTTTCCTCTTCATATTGACATAAAAATGACTCATTAAATTAGCCTAACATTAAGATTCAAACCAAAGAATAATGTATCATTGAAACCAACAAGACAAATTAAGTCATTTCTCTGGATTAGCTGATGATATTAGAATAATCCAGGTTTCAAAATGTAGCTTTTAAAGCAGGAATCTGAAAATGTAGTTAAGTCATTTTGTCCAAACTTAATCCTCATTTCGATAACATGGGTCACAAATAATTTAATCCAGCACATGATGCTGTTTCTACGACCCAATAAATAAGACATAAAAATCCAATTCCTTAAAATAAATGTGTTTATAACATTGAATTGAATAATATAAATACAGTGATTTTTGCAGATTTATCACTCAGAGGGAATTAATGAAGCTCTTAAAGCATTTTGATCAGACTTTTGTTGTAAATGGATGAATTCAAAATAAAACTGAAATTATAGGGTGTATTTAAAGTCTGTGCGATTTTTCTTTAGAAAATACGGAAACCTCAAATGGCATTTTGTCATTTCTTATCTGGCAACCCTAATGTGGTCTCGACTGCAAACTGTCACGTATTTTGAAAGAAAAATAATTTTTTATGCTTAATTTAAATCAGTGTTTTTGTGACACTGGTTGACAAATAATATTTGCACTAAAGTTTGATGGCGTTTTTTTTTTTCACTGTCAAAATATAACGTCAACAGATTAAAACATTAGAATTGCTCTTTATGACATTTAAGATCTGATTGAAATTAAATCTTTGTTATACTGAGTTTAACTTTCCAATTTAAAACCAACCAGATAATGTTTCTCATAATATTCAAACATTTATTTCCTCTGACACACTGAGGGTCGTGTTCCCATTGACTCAGCTGCATTAACAAAACCACACCAGAACCCATGTTTACCCATGTTTCTTTTTTCAACCTTTTGTTTTTAATTTACAAAATATGCTAATGGAAGAACAAGAACAGCCCTGAGTGAAAGCTAAGTGATCAGACCACAAGCTGCTGAGTGCTTTTGGTTAATTTCATCCGTTTCCATTATCACAGCAAACTGGACCATTTGCTCTGCCCTCTTTTACTTCTGGACAAGAAKATTTATCCACCTGAAAACATCTTCAGACGGATCAGAGGAGACAGAAGCTCACAGCCATGATCCTCACAGGACTCCTGGTTCTGCTCTTAGGTAAGCTCAAACATTTTAACTCTTTGAGCCGTTGTTTAATGTTTGTTTATTTGTTTTCTATCAAAAGTCATTTGATTTTAATTTTCACTGTGGGGTCACAGGTTGTCTCTGTCTTTCAAGAACTTCATCCAAAAACAAAAGCTGTTAACATTTTAATTTATGATCCTAAACTTAAAACTATGGCAATAATTTTTACACATAAGCATCCTATTAGCAAAATGAACAACTTGTCTTGTTTTTGTTTCTGTCAGGAGGATTTACCTTCAGCTCAGAACCACCTGAACAGCAGGAACTCAGTCAGACCGCCGAGCCCGAAGACGGTAAAACTGCACTCATAAAGCACATTTTAAATACTTTATGTTTTCAGACATGCACTGCTTTTTATTAACCTGGTGCTGATGGAAACTGATGTGTGTGAAACACACAGAACCACACTGCTTTCACCAGCCACAGCTGTTAATTTTAGCCCTTAATGTTTAGGTCATTGCACTTGGTACGGTGCTGGTAAATACTGCAGCTTAGTGACCTGAAGAGTAGTACCTCAGGACGCTGGTGTCAGAAGTGATCGAAGTCTTTTGCACCTTCTGTTTTCTTTGTAACATTCTTATGGAGATAAAAAGTCAAGTAAACAGATTACCGTATTTATTCAAGTGTAATACGTAAAATTGAATCAATAAAATCATCCATAAAGTTGGGGGGTAGTACTATACTCGGATAAATATTTTTACTTATGTATTTTAACTGAAATATGGGCTTCATTCACAAAATACCTGAGTCTGGAAATGAGACCGCGTCGTAAAAAGCAGTTGAAGCGAGCTCACCTCTGACACTCCTCCGTGCTTCAGAGTGAGATAATAACAGATCCAGGCAGGTGATATGATGTGAAAAAAGGGTAAAAAGTATTCCTGCAGCTTAGTAATGATAACAAACTAATGACATTAGCGTGTGACCGAGTCGCTCCTCGAACAACAACAAACACATGTTCGTCTGTAATGGCTGCCGTCTACCGGTGTTCTGAAAAAGTTTGTATCCCTGAAAAAATGTTTCCCCACCAGAGGGGGCGCTCGCGAGTAGAAAGTAATCTGCTTTTCCCCCACAAGATGGCCCAAATCTCATGTGAAGTCTCTGACTTTTGTGTTGGCGCCTCCTGGTGGACTATGTGTAAAATGCCAGAATTCATATGATGCTGCTACAGCTGATATATATTTGTTGTCAAAATACCTTTTAGTACATCCATCCATCCATCCATTTTCTGTACACGCTTCTTCCTTTCAGGGTTGCGTGGGTCACTGGTACCCATATCCAGCAGTCACAGTGCGAGGGGCGGGGTACACCCTGGACAGGTCGCAAGTCCATCACACATTTTAGTACATATGTTGTTAAAATAAAATGAACAGTCCAATGATCATTTTACTGATATGTATAAAAACTGCAAAGGCTGAAAAATCTTGAAGTCTGAATGAAACTGGAGGTAGTTTGAGGATTAAATTTTTTATGCTTTTTAAGCTCAAAGGGGGGTTATATTAAACATGAGATCGCATTATACATGAATAAATACGGTATGTCTTATTTAAAGCAAATGCAACTGGAGATGGTAAGGAAATAAGAGCATAAACATCTGGTTTGTTTTTCAAATGTCTTGCAGAGGACTGTTATTACTGCAGCGGAGAGGACTACAGAGGACAACATAGCACCACTGAAGGAGGTTTCACCTGCCAGCGCTGGGACTCACAGAGACCTCACAGGCACAGACACGTTCCCGCGAGGTACGACTGGAACGTTCAGTTTTATTAATGTACTCTTAAAATAAGCTTTTCTAAAGTCTAAACAAAGGTTTAATATTTTCTGTTTTCTGCAGTTATCCACAACATGATCTCACGGAGAACTACTGCAGAAACCCAAGAGGAGATTCCCGACCGTGGTGCTACTCGACCCACCGGTCCAGAACATGGGAATATTGCTCCGTACCTCGCTGCAGTAAAATTTACCTCTCAGTGATTTTTTTTTTAAAATACACATTGCTTCAAGTGTAAATAAACAGAAATACACTTTGCAAGTTCTGAAAAAGTTCTATTGAACTCACATTTTATCAAGCTGGTCAGTTTATTATGTTCACCATTAAATTTTAGTTAGAAATTACACTATCAGAGGAATTTAGACATTTCAACGGTCAGTGAGTTGGATTAATGAGGACCTTCACACAAATGGTACTACAATTAACAATACAGTTTATGTAAAAAAATAGGAAGAACGTTATTTCACTTTTTTGAAGTCTGACATTTTTCTTTAGGGGCACAATAATTGGTAAACACTGTTTTTGGCCAAATCTTACAGAAAACACTAATAAAAAGCAGGGTTTCTGCAGTTCATTAGAAAGCATTAAAGTCAAAGTCAAGGCTTTGAATAGCACAAAATTAATAATAATAATGATAATAATAGATTATATTTGTAACGCACTTTATATCTGAAAGCAGATCTCAGAGTGCAAACAATAAAATAAGATAATACAATAATAAAAAAATAAAAATATATAATTGTTATGTGATAAAAACGATCACATAACAAGACCAAATACATTATAGTAGTTTGCATTTACTGTCCACAGAATCAAAATTGTTGAAATACGCTGAATTTGCCTTAAGATATGTTAAATTTTATTAGCTAATTTCTGCTGAAACCCTGAACAAGATGAGCGTTTACATTTGTTGTTCTGAGTTTTTCAAACCGTCTTCTGTTTCCAGAAGCAGAACCCACCCCCATCGACCCTGAGGTGGACTGCATCACTGACAGAGGTAAAAGGTACCGCGGCACCATCTCTGTAACCTGGTCCGGTAAAACGTGCCAGAGGTGGTCGGCGCAGACGCCACAGTATCATGAAAACTACACTCCAGAAAAGATGCCCTGTGGGTAAGAAAACAACCACCATCAGCGATCGACAGAAAAGACTGGACAGATGCTGTTTTCTGTTTCCATAGATACATCAAACTGTTGAAGTATTTGAGTTTTTAGAAAAAGCTTTGAGTACTTATTAGTTTTTTTTTCTGCTCTTTCAGGGATTTAAGAGAAAACTACTGCAGAAACCCTGATAACGACACAAAGCCCTGGTGTTACACCACCGACCCAAATACGTTCTGGGAGTACTGCAATGTGCCGATCTGTGAAGACTCAGGTAGAACAGAGGGAAAGTCTCAGTTTCAGGTTTCTGTGAGTCTTGTGCACTCCCCTTTGAAACAAAAAAATAATAAATAAATAAATAAATAAAACTAGATAGATTTTTTTAAACTGATATGATTGAAGTTGGACATCAGAAGGATTCACATTTAGACGATGGTATTGTTTTTGGTAAAGAAACAGGCTTTAAACTCAGAAATATGGAATCAATCTTGTGCCAGCAGGAGTTGAATTTGAGTTGGTCAGATTGAATATGAATGTTCATAATTTGAAACTGAACGCATTGGTCTGAAAATAAATGTCAGTAAATTGAAACAGAATTTAATGATTTGAATTTGAATTAATTTGTTTTGAAACTGTATTTTGGTTTATTAAAAATTCAGTTTGACTACTTTCACTTTCAGTTCCATAATTCAGATTTTTGTGTCACATCCTGGTCCTTGAGAAAGCCAGGCAGAGTAATCAAACACAGATCCACAGATTTATGTTTCACTTTGGTGAAGTTTCTCTTCTGTGTGTAACAGAGTTGATGCAATCCACTGTAAAAGTGACAAAAACAGACAAAGTTATTTTATTGCAGTTATTAATTTTACCTATATGTAGAAAATGTTACATTAAATCACATCATGGATCAGTCATTAGCAGCATCTGATCAATATGTGATCCATGACGTGATGTAAATGTAACATTTTCTACATATAGGTCAAATTAATCACTGCAATAAAACAACTTTGTTTTTGTCACTTTTACAGTGGATTGCATCAACTCTGTTACATACAGAAGGGAAACTTCACCAAAGTGAAACATAAATCTGTGGATCTGTGTTTGATTACTCTGCCTGGCTTTCTCAAGGACCAGGATGTGACACAAAAATCTGAATTATGGAACTGAAAGTGAAAGTAGTCAAACTGAATTTTTAATAAACCAAAATACAGTTTCAAAGCAAATAAATTCAAATTCACAACTTTAAATTTAGTTTTAAACCAATAAATTCGGTTTCAATTTAGTAAAATTTATTTAATAAACATTTTCAAACCAATGCATTCAATTTCAAATTATGCACATTCAGATTCAAGCTGAGCAATTCAAACTCAATTACTGCTGGCACATAATTTATCCCATACATAAAATGCAGATTAGTAAAGTTTAAACTTGCAGATTTTGTTTTGACCTGTTTAGAATTTTCTGCTTCTTTCTCTTAATGAATTCATTGTTTTTGTGTGTTTTGAACTAGATGTTGGCTACATGTTTAAATACACTTGATTCTTTTAAAAATAAGAAATTAAGCTAAAATAAAAAAGTTGTGCGAAAACGTCCGTTTCAGGATTCAACAGTTTGTAGACCCACCTGCAGCAGCAACAACCTGCGGTACCACAGCTGTAGTTTTCTGTTTGTGACAGTTACTGTCACATAATTACACCCTTAATTACCAGAAATGTCATTTTGAAGAACACAAATTATTTGGAACTTTCTCTACAAATTCTCTTTAAATCTTTATGCTTTTCATTGTTTAATTTATAATCGTGAAACCTTTAAAAAAACAGATTTTAAGTCTGGTTCTTTAAAAATGTTTTTCTTCTTCTTTTTTTCATATCAGTGTTTTAAACTTACACAACAGGAGAGCAGATGGATGTTACATTATAAATAAATCCTATGTTTCAGAGCCTAACTGCACTGAGCAGGATGTGTTAAACTTCTTGAACCTGACCAGCAACAACGATCGGTTCACCATGGGTCGTCCTGTGAAACATCACAAGTTCTCCGTCAAAGTATACCTCGAAATGGAGATCATTGCTGTCCTAGATGTGGTAGGTGTTTATTTTTTTACAGAAATATTGTTGCAACAATGTTAATCATTGACTGTAGGAAGTGGAGTCTCATCTCTTTATTCTCAGGTTTATGATACAGTAATCTAAGATATAAGAATCAGGTTCTTTTAACATTGAAAACTGACTTTTTTTTCTCCAAATTTACAAAAACGTATTCAGATACTCTTATGAGCAATAAATCATAGGTAACAGAAAGTTCAAGGATCTGCAAATCAGTTTGTGATTTATTTAAAGTTTTATGTCTAGATAGTACGGAAGAGGATTAGGGCCACTGAAAAAATAAAAAAGGAATTCTGACTTTAATCTCAGAATTCTGAGTTTTTTCGAGATTAAAGTCAGAATTCTGAGAAAAAAGTCTGAATTCTGAGAAAAAAGTCT